GGAGGTATGGGGGCAGGTGTAGCACTTCCTGCAGTTGCAGGGAAAAAGTGCCAGGTGTGGTGGGGCTGGAGGGAAGTGTGGAGCGGACATGGGAGTCACAGAGAGAGTGGTTCCTCCGGAAAGCAGATAAGGGTGGGGAGGGAAAGATGTCTTTGGTGGTGGGGTCGGATTGCAGATGGCGGAAGTGTCGGAGGATGATGCGTTGGATCCGGAGGTTGGTGGGGTGGTACGTGAGGACGAGGGGGATTCGTTTTTGGTTCTTATTGCGTGGAGGGGGTGTGAGGGATGAGTTGCGGGAGATGTGCGAGACACGGTTGAGGGCGTTCTCAACCTGTTTGTTTCCTCTCCACCTATCCTCTCCTCTATCTCTTCGACCTGTTTGTTTCCTCTCCACCTATCCTCTCCTCTTTCCATCTTCTATCCGCCTCCCACTCTCTCCCTATTTATTTCAGAACCCCCTTCCCCTCCCCCTTTTCTGATGAAGGGTCTAGGCCCGAAACGTCAGCCTTTCTGCTCCTATGATGCTGCTTGGCCTGCTGTGTTCATCCAGCCCTGCACCTTGTTGTCTCGGATTCTCCAGTATCTGCAGTTCCTACTATCTCTGGAGTACTGTGAGCAGTTGTGGTCACCTTATCATTTCATTGGAGTCAGCTCAGAGAAGGGTTGTGAGTATGGAGGAATTGTCATTTGAGCAAAGACTAATCAGGTTGGACTGTATTCATTGGAGTTTAGAAAAATGAGAGGTGATCTAATTGAAACATATAGGATTCTTAACGGGCTGTCTGCAGCTCGCACTCCAGCTGCTCAACTCAAATCTGAAGTTCCTCGAGCTGCAAACACTAAGTAGAAGTGTGTTGACTCTGGATCAGATTGTTGTGCAGCTGCTTCCACATGTTACAGCAGTAACACATCACCTGTTCTGCTATCACTGTCATATTTGATTTAATATAGATTTATTACTCAAAATTCCTGCTGTTTATACTTCACTGTAATGATATATTGTTTTTATAAACCAAATAAAACCCACGGTGTCAATCTAATACTTAAGCAGCCATTTTTAAGAAAAGAAAAAAATTTACTGGAAACCGAAACACAGAATGAAGACCTGATTTGTACATTAAAGAATAGAAATATTCCCCAGTCCTTCTCACCAAGCTCGGACTGAGGTGTCCTTGAATCACAAAGCTTAGCAAGCAGGACCAGCAAATAATTAAGCAAGTAATTAGAACGGTGGTCTTTATTTTAAGGGGAAAGGAGTTTTTTAAAATTCTTTTTTGAAATGTTTGTGTGACTGGCGATGCCAATGTCTATTACTTGTCCCTCAAATTCCTGAGAAGGTGTTGGTGAGCTGCTGCCTTATTAACTTACAGTCCATTTGGTATCGATACAACCGCAATGATATTAGGGATGGAGTTCTAGGATTTTCACCCATCAACACTCTCAAGTAATAATGATGTCGGGCTGAATGGTGATTCAATTTAGAAAGTGTGGCAAGATTAGAAAAATGAGATTCTCAATGTTGACAGAAGAAAGCTCAATTCTGCAACCAGGTTTTAATTGGCAAGATGAGAATCTTGCTTGTGAGTGACAAGTGACCTATTTGTATGCTGTTAGTACCTAACATTACTTCAACGATACGCAGTTTCATATTCTTTCACATGCTGGAGAGAATATAGGTGGCACCGATTCCTGATATTAAAGGCAGAGCGTGTACCTGGCGACTCTAGCTCACAGCTTACTATGGATAAATATTCTTATAACTGAGGCTGGAGGGGCGCAAGCTGCTCTAGGGCTACTATTACATAGGTTACATCATAAACAACATTTTTTTCCCAGTTACCTAAATGATCAAATAAATATGTTATCTATATTATGTCTTATTTTTTAAAAAAATTAATCAGGTTTCTAATAAAAACAAAATCATCCATTTATTATAATCCAAAGCTTATTCAATAAACAAGCAAAATTAGCTGAAATATAGAACAAAAACAAAGTTGCTGGAAAAGCTCAGCAGGTCTGGCAGCATCTGTGAAGGAAAAACAGAGTTAACGTTTCGGGTCCGGTGATCCTTCCTCAGAACTCAAACTATAGTCTGTAATATGAAAGCATGATTTTTTTATCCCTCTAAATAACCTAAAACATACATACACAAACACACACAGATAAAGGATAAAGAACAGATTTTTCTGCAGAAATTGGTTTTCTGAGAGAATAAAAATATTAGGCCAATAGATTTCAAAGGCTTGAACAAGATAAAGATCAGGTGTGGAATGTTCATACCATCTGCCAGCGAGTGGTCTACTACTTGTAAATAGGTCACCAAATAAATGCAGTAGTAATTGAGGTCTTGGCAAACACAGCTTGCTCAGGAGACACAATATTAAGAATTTTTTTTTTTAGTTAGCATTTCCAGAACAAATACGTTTCATTCTGTACTCTCGACAAGATGGTTTTTCAGAAACAGGAGGTCAGCTATGTAGCCTGGATTTTTCTTTAACTGAAGACCAGAAGAAACTCCAAACTTAATACTGTTCAAAAAACCCCAGAGGATGTCTTCACCAAAAAATAGCAATTATTACAAATCATACCATTTCTAGGAGCCTTTTCCAAAAAGGACCAATGTCCACAGTAACATTTCAATTTCCTTTTAGAGAAACTAATCGAGGTATCTTCACATTAATTCATAAATTAATTTTTTCACATATGTCCAAAGCTCAGTCCTCAAATATGAAACATCTTCACAACCTCACCCTTGAAAAAAATGAAACATTGTTTTTGAATGTATTTCTTTGCAAAGTATGGACAGAAGTAAGTTCTTTTAAAAAAAACTAAAACATTTGCATAGTCATTATGGATTCATAGAGTCCCTACTGTGTGGAAACAGGCCATTCGGCCCAACAAGTCCACACCGACCCTCTGAAGGACATCACACACAGGCCATCCCCCATCCAATACTTGCCATGGCTAACACATCTACACATCCTTGGCCACTATGGGGCAATTCAGCATGGCCAATCCACCTAACTTGCACATCTTTGAACTGTGGGAGGAAACCCACGCAGACATGGGGAGAATGTGCAGACTTTACACAGTCACCCAAGGCTGGAAGTGAACCCAGGTTCCTGGCGCTGTGAGACAGCAGTGTCAAGCACTGAGCCACCGTGGTGCCGTGCTGCCCCACTCTTAATAGCTATAGTCATTGCTGATGCCTTCCTTTTATTCAGATAATCCAAATATTTATATTCTTGACAAAGTATCAGTGATTTCAGTGTTTTCCCCACAAAAATGGAGGGAGTGCAACAGAAGTTTAACAGACTGATTCCTGGGATGGCAGGACTGATGTATTTAGAGAGAATGGATCGGTTAGGTCTATGTTCATTGGAGGAAGAAATTACTGAAAACAACAAATGCTGGAGATCACAGTGAGTCAAACAGCATCCATGGAGAGAGAACAAGCTAACATTTCAAGTCTAGATGACTCTTCATCAGAGCTGGTGAAGTGTGGAGGAAACCAGGTGTAGAGCTGGATGAACACAGCAGGCCAAGCAGCATCAGAGGAGCAGGAAGGCTGACAATTCGGGCCTAGACCCTTCTTCAGAAATGCGGGAGGGGAAGGGGGTTCTGACATAAATAGGGAGAGGCTGATAGAAGATGGATAATGGAGAAGATAGGCGGAGAGGAGACAGACAAGAGGTGGGGGTGGAGCCACTAAAGGTGAGTGTAGGTGGGGAGTTAGGGAGGCG